TTTTTTTATTGCTGAAGAGTGTTTCTTCTCCTGCGTTTTCTACTGTACAGACGTGAATTTACTTTTGCTTCAGCCTGAGGTTTATTCATTACACTTTTTGGTGTGAAAGGGCTTTTATATTTGCTATAAATAGAACTTCTTATATTAAACACAATCAAGCCCTGCTTATATTTAAAAAGTAACGCGAAAGTAACGCATAAGTAATATAACACATTACTTTCCATAAAAAGTAACGTAAATAGTTACTATTTTAGGGAGTAACGCAATATTGTAATGCATTACTTTTAAAAGTAACTTTCCCCAACACTGGTTGTTTAGCACGTAACTGATAAAGGCCTGTAACTGAGCTGACGCAGCGCAGAGGATCCTGAACATGTTCATGTGGCAGAATGAAGTTTACTTTTCTGAAAAAGATGTATTTTTTTATTTTAATAGACAAAGATTACCACCAAATGTGGCCTTTGTTGTTACTCTTTGTTTGATTATGGGCAAATACCATATACATAAACAGAAATGGGCTAAAGGAAAACCTAACTTTTTGTTATTTCAGATAGATATGAAAAATGATATCGAGTTACTACTTGGGTTGAAAAACAGTAAAGCAAAACGCACTAGGTCTCTTTGTGAAGCTTTTCTGTTATTTATATGATGATCTCATACCTGTTCTTTTTTCTGTTTTTTTTTTTTCATTATTATTATTTTTATCTATTTATTTATTTTTACCTGTATTATTATTTAAATAATACGGTATATTTTCTATTTCTTTTTTGTAGTTTATATTTGTTCAGTACCTTTATATTATATGTTGGAAATCAATAAAAATAAAAAATTTTAAAAAAGGTGGCAGAATGTTTGTGTAAGAAGCATCTATCCAGCAGATGGCGATATTGTAGCGCAAAGGCTTCGCGGTAGAAAGAGGTGTAGCCCGAGCACAGTACACTTCCTGGAGGCTGAGCAACCGCTTTGTTGTCGGAATCCTGTACATCACAAGCTCCCAATAACAGGATATTTTCAAGATTTTGGTAAGCATCTACTTTATTGTTTTCTGACATTGAAGTTTTAGGTGTTGTGTTTTAGTCAATCTTTACATGGTATCCGTTGGAAAGCAGAAAAAAAAACGCCATGCGTATACGGCAGCATAGCGTTAATATTTTTATTAAATAGACACGGTGCACTCTTGGATGTACTTGTGCAGTTGAGTAGTTCAACTTCAAATCTATTAAATATACATTCAGGTTTCTCAAATGTATTGTTATATTCGCCATGCATTGGCAGGGCACGCGGAACTTGACCTTCATTGCAATGGCTATGTCACCTTTAACGTTACAGTTGGGCGCTTTGTGAACTCGCACGTTTGGAACACGCTGTCTATGAAGACAGCTCACTGGGTTTTATGCCTCACAACGCCATTATGTGAATTATCTACAGCTGTAAGAGAGATCTTGCTGGTTTTGTCTTTGCAAATTGATATATTACGCTGCATTTTTTTTTCAGCTCGTGCAGCTTCTGATTGGCTGGTCGTGAGTCAACAAACAACAAAGAAAATCCATCCGGCATGCGGCTGCACTGACCACTCTGGCCGGTTACAACGCCTTACACGTCTCCAGTTACACTTCCACCAGCTTCCTCTGGAGAAGAACCCTTTTTTATCCTTAAAAGTGATGTTTAAAGGTTTGGAGATGAACGGAGACTGCGTGGACGCTCGGCGCGAGGACACAGCAGAGTAAGATGAGCATGGCGACGGTTGCTGTGCAGCTTTCCGAAGTCATTGACCGTTTAAAAACAGTATTGAATTCACTAACGCTTTCTTTTCTTTTTGTTACTATGGTGTTTAAATATATAGACTGACATGTTGCTGCTCGTTGATTATTATAGCATTTAGGTCTATTACCGTGAAGGGTTTTAATTTAACGTTTTATTATTTATATGAGCTTTTATTATTAATATGTTTAGTCTATCTTCATTATAGTTCTAAAGTGGAACTAGAACTAAAGAACAGACCTACACAAATCTGTGTAATCCCATTCATTCTATTAAATACGGTTCAATCATGTTTGTCCAGTGCTGCTGTGGTTGGGGCATCCGGACTGCAGGCCATTGAGGTTGATGCTAAGACTGAGTCACATGCCTTCAGATACAGCCTGAACTACCCCAGCATTGGCCACTGCATCGTCATCAACAACAAGAACTTTGATCCCAACACAGGTAACACTTGTTTTGTGTTTTTGTGAAGGTTGTCAGTTCGAATGCTCATCAAACTCGGATGACTGTTGAAATGCATTTACCTTATGAACAGAACTGTGAACAGATTTAGGGGTCATATGATGCTTTTTTTTTTAAAGATCATTATTTTGTGTATTTGGTGTAACAGAGTATGTTGACATGCTTTAATGTTCAAAAAACACATTCTTTTAAAAATACTGTACGTTATTGTAGGTCCTCTATGCCCCGCCTCTCTCAAACGCTTCGTTTTCTACAAAGTCCCTCCTTCCGACAAGCGCAGTCTGCTCTGATTGGCCAGCTGACCCAGTGCTTTGTGATTGGCCGAACACCACAAGCACTCGTCGGAAATGTAACGCCCCTTACCATAATAGCGAGCTTCATCTTTCAAAATAAATGTAAAGACAGTAAATAATGTCATTAGTTTTACCATCAGTTCAAGCCCAAAAGGGGAACAGAGTCTCGTGACAGACACAGTGATGAAGCTGGTATGTGTTTGCAGCACACAAGCCCCGGTTAAGACTGCTGACTCCACTGTGATGTGACCCCTTGTAACACTCCAAAGAGTAAGGAAAACTTGAAATCGCATCATATGACCCCTTTAATGTATTAGGAACGTACCGATATTGAAATTCTTGCTGATAACTATGAAGGTGATTATTTATTTTGATGTTATGGCCTATAATTGTTCAGTGGCCAGAAAAGCCTTCACCTAATTTGGTCTTCTAATTTGGTGTGCCTGCACAGGTTTTTATTTCTTTTTGGAACTGACTGGTTGGAGACCTAATTGATCTGATCATATGCACCTCAGTTTTTGAAAAAGCATTATTTGTTGGATACAAAACCTGTGCTAACTGACAGAAAACCAGTTGATAAAAAAAAGATTGCATTTAAGACTTGTTAATAATGTAGCATGAGAAATTGATAACATTTTGTAGAATGGTCATTTTTGACTGGGAACACCACAAGTGTAATGGGGGGGGGGTACAAAGACTGTCAAAACATTTTTGTTAAATAATTATACCCTATGTGAGTCAGTAAGTTTTAGATAGTGTGTGACAACATTTAACTAGCATTTGTGGGAGCAAGAAAATCCTCTCCGGGTCAAAATGACCAGAACACAACATGAGTGTTAAACGAAATAAATAAAATCGATAGTAATAAATGCTACAGTGAATGAAGTTGAGCAGCATAACGCTATATAACTCTTCTAAATATCAGTGTTTCCCCTAGGTTTACGGTTTGGGGTTGTTTTTTTCTGTTTTAATTTTTCTGGACTCCTTGTTAATGGTTAAATTAAATTTTATTAATCAAAAACCATGTCTTAGGGCCCTATGAAATGTTAGATTTTTTCCAACCTTATGTTTTGTTACCAAATTCTGTTTTAACATGTCTAATTATTCGAAAGCATAAAAACAAGTTTAATTTATTCTTACAATAGCCTAATGATTTTTCTGTGTGTATTTACGTTTTTTAAGGCATAAAACAGTCATTTAATTGATCTTTTAATTAATAAAAATTAAAAATATATATTTTTGGAAAATAAAGGGGATTTAATATTACAATTAAAACATACAAATATAGTATGATTATTGCTGAAAAATAAGGTTTTAATCATTTTAGTAGTTGTAGTAGTCTATTACGTACATTCTACTTAACAATAGTAATATATTTCTGCCGCAATGTCTTCAAGTTAAACCAGACGTTTATTTTTTGACGGGTTGCCGTGAATACCTTTACATTCCTGTGTTTATGTGATATGATGAGGATAGTTTTACTCGAATGAAATGGCAAAATGCTCACAAAGTGACTCTCAGAGCAGTTCTGGAGATGTTTTCATTAGTGAGACGGCAGACGTTAATATCACTGCAAGCGTCACGCTTCAGTACAAGTAGTAAACAAAACCGAGCGTCTGCACCATTCATTAACAAAGAAACACGCAGAATTCATATTTAAATATACTAGTGGGAGTGGGAGTGTGCTCACTTGTGTGTGCGCATCGGGGCAGAACTCTGCTGTGCGAGATACAGAGAGCGCGACCATGTAACGTAGAGACAGAAATTACAGAATTAGGGCCGCCCCCCTAATATAATGGCAGGGGAAACGCTGAATATTATATTTATATATTCAGTATATACACGGATATATATGAAAATGTACATCATTTTTAAAATAACCAAAACAAAAAATCATGCTTTGTACTTTGTCATGTGTAATATAGCCAATGGTTATTTGTTCTTCACTTCTTTCAGGCATGAACCAACGCAATGGCACTGACGTAGATGCAGGAAATGTAATGAATGTGTTTCGAAAGCTCGGATACACTGTGAAAGTCTACAATGACCAGACAGTTGTGCAGATTAAGCAGGTTTTAACAGCAGGTATGGCGTATTCAACTCTGCACAAATTCTTCAAAAAAAAATCGTATATTCTTGGCTCTCAGATCTGTTGGCGTTGCAACTGAAATATTACAAAATTATGCTGAATCAGTTGTCTATACCAGATTTGATGGTAATTGATAATTATACTCTGTTTTTTAACAATTGAAATTGTAATTATTCGTGGCTGTTTGTTGTTTTATCGCAGTTTCTCGTGACGACCACAGCCACTGTGCTTCATTAGTGTGTGTGATGCTCAGTCATGGAGATGAGGGAGTGTTTTTCGGCACTGATAAGTCTGTGGAGCTCAAACAGTTAACTAGCCTGTTCAGAGGAGACCGCTGCCCATCACTAGTGGGAAAGCCTAAACTTTTCTTCATACAGGTACATCCCTGATTTCTGCGGTCCTCGTGTGTGTGTGTGTGTGTGTGTGTGTGTGTGTGTGTGTGTGTGAGAGAGAACAGATGTGAGTGTGAGGTTTGTAATGAGCGGGCTTGGAGTACTTGTTTCACTCTTGAGATTTATGAAGGCTATGTTTATCTAGGCTTGTAGAGGTACAGAACTGGATCCTGGTGTGGAGACTGACAGCTCAGATAAATCTATGAGGATCCCTGTGGAGGCGGACTTCCTCTATGTGTACTCTACTGCACCAGGTACAGACACAAACTAACCACACAAACGCTTCCTGTGAGTATCGGATAAAATATTCACAAACAGAATGTACTGTTCAAAAGTTTGGGACCATTACGATTTTTATTATTATAATTTTTTTGAAAGCAATTAATTATTTTATTCAGTCAAGAACACATTAAATGTATCAAAGGCTACAGTAAAGACATTTATAATGTGATAATGTTATTCAAATAAAAGCTGTTCTTTTGAACTTTCTATTAATAATTTTCCACAAAAATATTAATCAGCCTAACTGTTTTCAACACTGATAATAAGAAATGTTTCTTAAGTTGCAAATCAGCATATTAGTATGATTTCTGAAGGATCATATGACACTTACAATCTGGAGTAAAGATGCTGGAAATTCAGCTTTGCATCGCAGGAATAGATTTTATTTTAAATATCTATTGACTGAAAACAGCTATTTAAAATTTTAATATTTCACCATATTGTTTTTACTGAATTTTTGTGTATAAATGTGGCTGCTGATAGTATTTATTATTTTTTAGGACTGTCAATTGATTTTAATTTGCAATAGAATTAATTGCATGATATGCTGATTAATTAATCAACTAAGTCATATATATATATATATACTGTATATATATAATTTTTTTTTTATTTTAGTGAGAAAATCCTGGTGAAGGTAATTTAAATACTTAACATGGAGTCTTTTTCTTAATGGGTTTCTTTCCTCTGTCAGGTTACTACTCCTGGAGAAACACGATGACTGGCTCTTGGTTCATTCAGTCCCTTTGTGAAATGATAGCAAAGTATGGCAAAGAACTAGAGCTCATGCAGATCATGACCAGGGTCAATCATAAAGTGGCACTCGACTTTGAGTCGACCTCCAACCTGCCTGGCTTTGACGCCAAGAAACAAATCCCCTGCATTGTCTCTATGCTCACCAAAGAGATGCACTTCACTGCTTGAAGGGACAAGGGAACTGTTAGAGCTTTTCCAGCTTTTTCTATCAATATCACAGCTATAGTGTATGGGTTGAGTTTAAGACCCTTTTTTTCACAGGAGCATTAGCTGGATGCTCAGTTTGGGATTTCGCTGTCTCGGGACTGTTATTGTAGCTCTCATTGGCATTTAAAATATTGTACGTGAATATAGGTGCTCAGGTTTTTGTTTACCTTGTGACTATATACTGTTTTTCGTGTCTTTTGCCTCTGGTTTTCTAATCCAAATCCAATAGTGAACAATCACCAGTGGCAGGCCATGTTGGGATTTTTAGAATTACAGTAATCAGGGATTTTAATAGGCTATTGCACTAGTTTGACTGTTGAAAGGGAATCAGAGTTGGGCATTAAATCGGTAAGATCTGAGATTCATCCTAATTGAAGGAGAGCCAGTGTGCCTATTTTAATATGAAAAGCAAAAAAACAACAATCGGAACTATTCCCAGGTGCCTCTCACTGAACCATGTTAACAGATTTTGATATAACTTCTGAAATGTCATGTGTAGGTTTTTATTAAGACAAAATGATGCATTTTTATCAGTGGTGCATTCCCACAGCAATAAAAACTTGTACAAGCATTGACAGCAATGGATTTAAGTTGAAGTCTGGGTTTAACAACCATCACTGTAGGTGCATATATAATACACTTTTTGTGGTAATGGACAACAAAGAGTGAAAAATTTAAGAGGGTCTGAATACTTTCCGTACCCACTGTATATATATATACTGTATATATATAATTTTTTTTTTATTTTAGTGAGAAAATCCTGGTGAAGGTAATTTAAATACTTAACATGGAGTCTTTTTCTTAATGGGTTTCTTTCCTCTGTCAGGTTACTACTCCTGGAGAAACACGATGACTGGCTCTTGGTTCATTCAGTCCCTTTGTGAAATGATAGCAAAGTATGGCAAAGAACTAGAGCTCATGCAGATCATGACCAGGGTCAATCATAAAGTGGCACTCGACTTTGAGTCGACCTCCAACCTGCCTGGCTTTGACGCCAAGAAACAAATCCCCTGCATTGTCTCTATGCTCACCAAAGAGATGCACTTCACTGCTTGAAGGGACAAGGGAACTGTTAGAGCTTTTCCAGCTTTTTCTATCAATATCACAGCTATAGTGTATGGGTTGAGTTTAAGACCCTTTTTTTCACAGGAGCATTAGCTGGATGCTCAGTTTGGGATTTCGCTGTCTCGGGACTGTTATTGTAGCTCTCATTGGCATTTAAGATATTGTACGTGAATATAGGTGCTCAGGTTTTTGTTTACCTTGTGACTATATACTGTTTTTCGTGTCTTTTGCCTCTGGTTTTCTAATCCAAATCCAATAGTGAACAATCACCAGTGGCAGGCCATGTTGGGATTTTTAGAATTACAGTAATCAGGGATTTTAATAGGCTATTGCACTAGTTTGACTGTTGAAAGGGAATCAGAGTTGGGCATTAAATCGGTAAGATCTGAGATTCATCCTAATTGAAGGAGAGCCAGTGTGCCTATTTTAATATGAAAAGCAAAAAAACAACAATCGGAACTATTCCCAGGTGCCTCTCACTGAACCATGTTAACAGATTTTGATATAACTTCTGAAATGTCATGTGTAGGTTTCTATTAAGACAAAATGATGCATTTTTATCAGTGGCATCTGGTGCATTCCCACAGCAATGCTTGTTCAAGCATTGACAGCAATGGATTTAAGTTGAAGTCTGGGTTTAACAACCATCACTGTAGGTGCATATATAATACACTTTTTGTGGTAATGGACATTATTACCACACTGCTTAATTTTGTATTTAATCTGGAATGCTCTTTATTTAGTCCTTTCAAGATGATTATGAACAGCATGATAGCAACAGTCATCTGAGAAAAATCACATAATTATTTCAGTTCAGGTCATGCATGCATTGTGTGTTAGATATGAGATCCTAATGTACGCATACATTAAAAACATACTGTTCATATTTATTGCACAATTTTTTTCTCTCTGTGTGTGTAAACTAGAGCTTTTGTATGTAATTAAACAGCTCTGCAGTGCACTGGATGATTAGTCAATCTCTAAGCAAAACGGTACGAGAGGCTGTGGCTTGTTCACAATACAGCACGCCTGGAGTCCCTTATTGCTTTTATAAAATGGTTACCACAGAGTACAAATATTAAAACCAAAAATGTATGCATGCTACTTTTTTGAAGCAAATTCATTAAATTATATACTTCCGCTTTTCTGTCTTTTAGTTTGGAAGCATCATTACAGTAAATTAATGGACATACAGTAACGTTATCTTACCTGAACTAGATATTCTTCTAGATCTTCTCACACAGACATGCATATCAACCTACCTCAAATATGAGAAGACAGCTGGAAGGACGTGGCCTCAAAATGAAAGGTGAATGGCGCAACATAACGCCAACAAGGGTCACTCATAATTCATTACACAAAGTTTTTAGCTGAAATACATAATACATGGAATAGATTTGACACTATATTATGTTACTAAGGGTGTTGCGCAGGGATGCACAGAACCTTTTGTTGAGACAGTCAAAGCTTGTCTTTATCGTTTATAGCTTGTTAACTATCGAAAGGTAACTTCTGTTGCGTCGTCATTGACAACTTGTTTGGGGAAACTCCTGTTTACTCTTACTGAAGCCTGATTTGTTAACGTTTGTGTAGCTGCTTAAACCTATGGTGCTTGAGCCTGCCAGAGGGGGGTGGAGCTGACTGCTATATAAACCGGCCCGGAGCACCATTTCATCAGAATCTTCTCCTTCAGCGTCGAGACCATCTTTTCACTGACTCTGCGATAAAGCAGAAGAAGCTGAAGCAAGAAGCTCAGCCTGTTCTCTCCCGCAGTGGAATCAAACCACCAGCATTGGAAGGAGTTCCCCTGCGGTCATCCGGTGACGGAAAAAAGGGCAAATTTCTGAGCAATTTTCCAAGCGTGTTTAAAAAAAAATTCGCTTTTGAGTGCAGCTTGTGAAGAAGAGGTGGTCATCGACGACTCCATGTCCTTGACGGCATCTGACGCTGACAAGTGGACGTGGGGGTTGTCAGGGAAAATCAGGGAAGCCTCGTGGACCCCCTCTGGAGGAACCAAGTCTGGTTCCCGGAGATGGTCCATACCACTGAGGAGAGACCTTCTCTCGCAAGCGCAGGGCAAGATTTGGCATCCCCAGCCGGAACTGTTTAGCCTTCATGCCTGGCCACTCGACGGGAGTCTAGCCAACTCCCAGCAAGAGTCACTAATACCATTTTAGAGGCTAGAGCTCCGTCCACAAGGCGCCTCTATGTACTCAAATGGTCAGTCTTCAGTGACTGGTGTTCAGCACAAAGCCAGAATCCGGTGTCATGTGACATGTCCAACGTGCTAACCTTTCTGCAGGAGCTGCTGGATAAGGGGCGCACCCCTTCCACGCTTAAAGTCCATGTGGCAGCCATCATGGCGAATCATTCTCTCGAGGCTGGTCGGACAATTGGCAGGAACGACTTGGTCGTTAAGTTCCTTAGAAGCGCTCGGCGGTTAAATCCTCCTCTCCCTAGGACTGTGCCAGTATGGGACTTGTCTATAGTCCTGAGAGCCCTCAAATGTTCCCCCTCTGAGCCACTTCAAACAGCTGGCTTAAGGGTCATGACGCTGAAAACTGCTCTGCTTTTGGCCCTAGCTTCGGTCAAGCGAGTAGGTGACTTGCAAGCCCTGTCTGTCAGTGCTTCCTGCCCTGAGTTTGGACCCAATGACTGTAAAGTCGTTCTTCAACCACGCAGCGGTTATGTACTGAAGGTGCTCTCAACTCCGTTTAGAGCCCAGGTCATTTTCCTTTTAGCCATCCCTGGAACAGATGGCAAACAAGGTCCCAATTTGTTGTGCCCTATCCGGGCACTACGAGTTTACATTAAGCGCTCTGAGTCTTTTAGACAAACAGATCAGCTTTTTGTGAGCTTTGGAGGCCGCTCTAAAGGGCTGCTGGTCACAAAGCAAAGACTATCTCATTGGATAGTAGATGCTACAGCTCTGGCCTGTACCTCAGCTGGCTTGCATTGCCTTATAGGTGTGAGGGCCCATTCCACCAGGGAAATGGCCTCCTCTTGGGCCTGGTTCTCTATTGGGGAGATTTGTGCGGCTGCCGGCTGGTCATCGTGGGTGGGGAGAGTTATGTCAATAAGACCTCAGAATGTTCTCGGGTCTCTTTGTGGCTCAGGCTTATGGAGCCATCGCTGATCGTTTCTGGGCTGAGCTCGCGGAGCAGGCTTAGTTCTACATCTGCTTATAGCACGGTGCTACTGGATGCGTTCCCCAAACAAGTTGTCAATGACGACGCAACAGGAGTTACCTTTCGATAGGGAATGCTCCGGTTACTCACGTAACCTCGGTTCCCTGAGATACGGGAACGAGCATTGCGTCGTCAGGGAACCAAGGTTACATGAGTAACCACAGCATTTGTAGTCACATGAATCTGACGACGCACGAAATTCACGATTTTTTTAAATTTATTTTTTACTTTCAATATCACCGTGAAACTCATGCTTGGTTGTTCGAAAAACGCATTATTTTTCACATTTACATTACAATACCTTTCTCCTCAGCCTGGCACAAACGGCTCGATTAGTGCCGGGCTTGATGAAGGCCCGCCTTCCGAAATACGAAATGCGTTGTGATTGGTTAGCTGTCCCAGTGCGTTGTGATTGGCGAACAGCTTAGATGGTGTTTCAGTACTGCCACGCCCCTTGCCAAAGCAGCAAGTTACGTCTGCTCAGGTATAGTTAACGATGGCGACAATATTGCCATATCAGTTTGAGCCGGATTCAGACCCCGAGAATATTGAACAAGAGGATCACGCAGAACCTTTGCATGCACAAATATTGCAAGACATATTAGAGTGGTAACGTTATTGTTGTTTTTTGGCTAAATCCCGTTTTAGATAGGATGTCAACAACCGCTTAAAAACAACTGCATTTACTATGTACAGATAAGTGCAACGGTAATATGTATTACATCGCAGAAACTGCATACAACTTATACTTTGAAACGTAAATAACACGCACAACAACAATTAAAGCAGCACACTTACAGGCTGTGATGCAGATACAGCAGATTGTCCCGGCAAAGTGGGAACTGCTCCGTCTTTCAGCAAAATCTTTTTGGCGAAACCAGCACTGTACTCCCCTATGGTACTCCCTCATGACTCCCCTCAAAACTTGACGCTACAGCAGCTCTTCTTGTTCGTTTTCTCTGATGCACCAAATTTGCAGCAGCACTTCTTCGTTGTCGTCTTGTCTGATGCACTCAACCAAGCGTTCTAACCACGACCTCGCCCCTCCCCACCCCCCAACCATTCGAATTTCCGTAGGCGGGATTTATTTTAATGATATTCTAATGGGCCGCTTTGTGACATCACAAAACCCCGGAAAACAAACGCTGTAGTCCAAACGAGCTGTTCGTTGTAGTTCTTGAAAAGGGATAAAATCCACTGATGAGTTACCAGCGTAAGCCTGTGTGCAAAGGCTGTCTAATTCTAAACTTTAAAATACATTTATTTTTAGTTATTTTAACTACAAATTTAAATAAAACAGAAAAAATAATGAAAAGGCAATTATACATTTACACACATTATATCAACTAAAAAAGTAACTGTGTCCTCATAAATGAGTAAGCGGCATTTAAAACAATTATAAACTTATAATACACACCGTTTCTCAGTATTTAATTACAGCTTCAGATGCATAATATTTTCATCTCCCTCAAGCAGGGTACACAAAAAGCACGTTCAACTCGGAGTCTCGGAGGGTTGTCGTAACAAACACCGTAAACAGCAACCGTTCGCGTGTCAGCACTTAATGCGCATATCCTATATGAAAAGCATTTTAGGGGGCCCTTGGCTTTTGGGGGCCCAAGGCTGTCGCCTACCTTTGCCTAATGGGTAAGTCCGCCCCTGGTCATACAGATGTTTTATGAAGCAAAACAAAAGTCAGGTTATTTTGTTTTTGCTTCAGATTTTGAAATTATATGGTCTAATATAAAACAAACAAAATACATGATTAAAATGCAGTGGTTGCCTCTAATTTCAAATGGCTATGAAAAATCAAGGTGCAACACAGAGCGAAGAATATGCAAATGTTATTTTATACAGTGGGGCAAAAAAGTATTTAGTCAGCTACCAATTGTGCAAGTTCTCCCACTTAAAAGGATGAGAGAGGCCTGTAATTTTCATCATAGGTATACCTCAGCTATGAGAGACAAAATGAGAAAAAAAGTCTAGAAAATCACATTGTAGGATTTTTAAAGAATTAATTGGTAAATTCCTCTGTAAAATAAGTATTTGGTCACCTACAAACAAGCAAGATTTCTGTCTCTCACAGACCTGTAACTTCTTCTTTAAGAGGCTCCTCTGTCCTCCACTGGTTACCTGTATTAATGGCATCTGTTTGAACTTGTTATCAGTATAAAAGACATCTGTCCACAACCTCAAACAGTCACACTCCAAACTCCACCATGGCCAAGACCAAAGAGCTGTCAAAGGACACCAGAAACAAAATTGTAGACCTGCACCAGGCTGGGAAGACTGAATCTGCAATAGGTTAGCAGCTTGGTGTGAAGAAATCAACTGTGGGAGCAATTATTAGAAAATGGAAGACATACAAGATCACTGATAATCTCCCTCGATCTGGGGCTCCATGCAAGATCTCACCCCGTGGGGTCAAAATTATCACAAGAACTGTGAGCAAAAATCCCAGAACCACACGGGGGGACCTAGTGAATGACCTGCAGAGAGCTGGGACCAAAGTAACAAAGGCTACCATCAGTAACACACTGCGCTGCCAGGGACTCAAATCCTGCAGTGCCAGATGTGTCCCCCTGCTTAAGCCAGTACATGTCCAGGCCCGTCTGAAGTTTGCTGGAGAGCATTTGGATGATCCAGAAGAGGATTGGGAGAATGTCATATGGTCAGATGAAACCAAAATATAACTTTTTGGTAAAAACTCAACTTGTCGTGTTTGGAGGAGAAAGAATGCTGAGTTGCATCCAAAGAACACCATACCTACTGTGAAGCATGGGGGTGGAAACATCATGCTTTGGGGCTGTTTTTCTGCAAAGGGACCAGGACGACTGATCCGTGTAAACGAAAGCATGAATGGGGCCATGTATCGTGAGATTTTGAGTGAAAACCTCCTTCCATCAGCAAGGGCATTGAAGATGAAATGTGGCTGGGTCTTTCAGCATGACAATGATCCCAAACACACCGCCCGGGCAACGAAGGAGTGGCTTCGTAAGAAGCATTTCAAGGTCCTGGAGTGGCCTAGCCAGTCTCCAGATCTCAACCCCATAGAAAATCTTTGGAGGGAGTTGAAAATCCGTGTTGCCCAGTGACAGCCCCAAAACATTACTGCTCTTGAGGAATGGGCCAAAATACCAGCAACTGTGTGTGAAAACCTTGTGAAGACTTACAGAAAATGTTTGACCTCTGTCATTGCCAACAAAGTGTATATAACAAAGTATTGAGATGAAATTTTGTTATTGACCAAATACTTATTTTCCACCATAATTTGCAAATAAATTCTTTAAAAATCCTACAATGTGATTTTCTGGATTTTTTTTTCTCATTTTGTCTCTCATAGTTGAGGTATACCTATGATGAAAATTACAGGCCTCTCTCATCTTTTTAAGTGGGAGAACTTGCACAATTGGTGGCTGACTAAATACTTTTTTTCCCCCACTGTATCTCCCTTTGGAGTGGACTTTGAGATTTGTAACTTTCTAGATCTTTTTTATGTCCAAACATACACACTACACACTGACTAAAATTAAAAAAGTGAAAAAGCATAATAGGAGCCCTTTAATCAAATGATGTTTGGAAACTATAGAAATGTATTTCCAGAGGAGTTGAATCTATAATGTGTGTTTGTTGGTTCCAGGTTGCAAAAAGCATGTTATTCTGCTTCCAGTGTCTATAAATTGTGTAGGACACTGACAGCCAGTGAGACTAGTTTCTTGAATTTCTGGGTATTTGTATTTAGAAAGTTTGCTCAGGCAGATCAATAGCCTTAGGCACAGGTGAGAGTAACGACAATGGAAGCAAGGAGAGAAGTTTCTCATCCATTAATCTTTTACCATATACCTCATTGCCTTTTCAGTTTCATTCTTTCAATTATATGAAAATCATTGTTGTACTCTTAGTAGCAGGTCATAGAGTAGTTCTTTATGGTACACATTATATTGTAATGGAATCTTTTTGCCCACATTGATGTTTTTAAAAAAACAAAAACATTTTTTAATAAAAAATGGCACCAGAGAATAAAATATTGGGCAACAAAGTGGCCTTTTTATACAGCAACTCTGTACCACAAGTCACATTTTTCTAGTAGAGTATTAATGTCTTTTGTGTTTTCTTTGAGTTTTTAACCTACAAACTCAACTTAATTTCATATTTAATATCGCAGTTCTCACCCATTCCAAGATCACTCCCACTGTCTTGGCTATTCTGTGGAATATGAACCAGAAATACTACAATTCCACTATGTAAAACTCCCTTTTTTTTAACATAGGCACCGTTACAACGTTAATGAATAGGAACCCAAACACTATTAAAAGACAATGCCATCAGTTTATTTCTCTCTTCAACACCCACATGCTACAAATAATTGTTTGCACAATTTACATGAATACAATAAAGATGTACAAACATAAATAGATAACCTATATACAAGGTTTAATCTCCAGGAGAGAGGCACATTTGAGACGTACCGAGATTTCAAAGTGCTGTTAGTGGAATCTGAGTATCAACAAGAACCAATTTGTGATGTAATTTCACTGTCAATTTCAGTGAAAATCTATTATGTAGATATAGAAAAGACCTGTTTAGACCAGATGTCAAACACATAACCATACCATTTGTTTGTTACATAACAAAAGCATTGTGACTCACAATATAAATTTAAATTGTAAACTGATAAATATCGATTTACTGAAGTTTAATGGAAACCACTCTTATTTTAAATGTGTTGAGAAAAATATCTGCACATGGCTTACAAATCAGAAACCTTTTTGGCATTTGTCGTTTTGTTTTATATGATCTTGCAGGTGTGTTCTGGGTTATTACACTCAAGGCATTCACTGGCCTAAAGCATTGGGGTGGTTCACTTCCAGTTGCCATCACAGATGAATAGCAGGGCTCATGAAATGTTTGGTATGTGCTTCGCTGGTGGGACCATACTTCACCTCTTCTGAGAGATGACTGTGGCACCTTCAAGTGGTAGAAATGACAAAAGTACCAGTCGCAGTGGTCCTTCTCTCCCCACCATGTGAGTGATGGAACAGCATGACAGAACTGGAGCACCTCCTTCATAATCATCACCACATTGCAAGTATGCATGTTTGGGGTGTTCTAGTTCACCCTCAGTGTAGACGGGTGTCTCTCTCTCTCGCTCTTTCTGTAGTTGTTCACATTTTGATTTTAGCGTAGAGCTGGTCTATCTGCTCTCTGAAGTGGATTCTCAGCTCGGTTCTCTTTGCTTTCAGTGTTGGCGTGAGGAGTCCATTCTGAACAGAGAACATTTCCATGTGCAGGGCAATGTCTCTCACCTACACACACAAACACACAGATAAGAAAAGAATACACAGTCTTTCTTGTACAGGGGTCATCAAACATTTCTGACCCAGGGACCCCAGTAAAAAAAAAAACAATATTACTTTATTTTTTTAGATTAACAATATTAAGGACAATAATAATTTTAATATTAACTATAACTATATTATTTGGGGACTCAAAATATGTATCAATTATATTTAATATATATTTCTGTATATCTCATTATACTATTTATAACAATTATACTATTAGTAATAATAATAATTGTAAAATAAAATTATACAAATGATATTTTATTACATTATGCTATACTAGTGTAGACCCAATTTCTAAATTAACTTCATTTTATAGTCCAACAGATTAACATCATTTTAATAATTATTTTTAAGAATGCATTCTTAAAATGATGTTAATCTCTCTTTTGGACAATAAAATTAATTTAATGTAGAAATTTGATCAACACTAACAATTACGTTACATAATGTGCATAACTTACATTATGCTACACTTACGTTATTAATAGAAATGGCAAATGTAATTATTTTAAAAGGTTATTGCACAAATTATTGTTTAGAAATTAATTATTATTCATATTTAGAATTTTTTTTTAAATATGCTATATCAAAGTTTTTTTCAAAATTTTAAAAATCATTTTGTGTGTTATTTGTGAGTTAACGGACCTCCTACAGTAATTTATGAACAACCAGGGATCCCCAGACCCTGGTTAAAAACCTTGTGTAAAAAGGTGATTTGCAGCAGTGTTGAAGTTATCAAGAATTGTGTTCATTAGATTCACCTGTTCAAAGGACTTCAGTCCAGCTTCTTTGCCTAGCCGAATGATATCCTCTAAGATGGCATTTTTCAGTTCCTGTTTAAACACAATATCAGACATCAGATCTTTAAGGGTGGCTCAGGCCATTTAAACACTACAGCTCATTCAAAATCTCAAGTCCTAATGCTTTCAACAGCAAATAAAAAATTAAAGCATTGAATCCAGTCAAATGTCTTTTTTTCTGTGTAAGTGTTTTACCTTGCTTTTGCACATTTCAGTGTAGGAGCCCTCAATGCCTCTTTTCTTTACCCATCTTGGCAGAAAGTCTGGATCAGGAACCACAACACCCACTAAACATGCCTACAAAGACACAGGATGGGTTTACTCTCACTTATTGCACATACCCACACATATTCCATCCTCTGACCCACCAAACCACATCCACACGCTCTGATTCACTGCTGTGTAGAAGTGACAGTCATCAAGTCCAGGGTCCTGTTTGGGTACAATGCTCAACTCTGCAAATTGTGTTGTAAATAGAAATGGTTGACGGCCTTCAGACTACAGAGCGCAAACACAAATAAGCACGAGACAGTTTGAAAGCCGCTGCCTTTCAGTGGGTATCATATTAAATTGTTACTCCACCCCAAAATGAAAATGTTGTCATTAATCACTTACCTCCATGTCCTTCCAAACCCGTAAAAGCTTTGTTTGTCTTCGGAACACAATTTAAGATATTTTGAATGAAAAACGTGACCGTCCCATTGACTGACAAGTAAATAACAAGGTCAAGGACCAGAAAAGTATGAAAGACATCGTCAAAATAGTCCATCTGTGGTTCAATCTGAATTTTATGAAGTGACGAGAATATATTCCATCCTCTGACCCACCAAACCACATCCACACGCTCTGATTCACTGCTGTGTAGAAGTGACAGTCATCAAGTCCAGGGTCCTGTTTGGGTACAATGCTCAACTCTGCAAATTGTGTTGTAAATAGAAATGGTTGACGGCCTTCAGACTACAGAGCGCAAACACAAATAAGCACGAGACAGTTTGAAAGCCGCTGCCTTTCAGTGGGTATCATATTAAATTGTTACTCCACCCCAAAATGAAAATGTTGTCATTAATCACTTACCTCCATGTCCTTCCAAACCCGTAAAAGCTTTGTTTGTCTTCGGAACACAATTTAAGATATTTTGAATGAAAAACGTGACCGTCCCATTGACTGACAAGTAAATAACAAGGTCAAGGACCAGAAAAGTATGAAAGACATCGTCAAAATAGTCCATCTGTGGTTCAATCTGAATTTTATGAAGTGACGAGAATACTTTTTGTACGCAAAGAAAACAAAAATAACAACTTTATTCAACAAGTCGTCTCCTCCGTGTCACCATAGCGCCATTTTGGAGAGTGTCCACTGAGTGTAACCTGCGTATGCTGTTCTGTGTCAGCCACACTACACGGATACGCTGTTTTCGTTCAAATCAAAGCGTAAATAAACGTAGAAAATGTATCCGTGTGGTGCGGCTGACACAGACAAGTAAAACAGCATATGCAGTTTACGTTCAGTGGATATTCTCCAAAATGGCGCTACGGTAACGCAGAGGAGACGAATTGTTGAATAAAGTAATTATTTTTGTTTTCTTTGCGTACAAAAAGTATTCTCGTCGCTTCATGAAATTCTGATTGAACCACTGATGGCAGATGGACTATTCTGACGATGTCTTTCATACTTTTCTGGACCTTGACAGTGTTATTTACTTGGCAGCCAATGGGACAGTCACAAGCCTCCCGGTTTTCATCCAAAATATCTTAAATTGTGTTCCGAAGACGAACGACATGGGGGTAAGTGATTAATGACAAAATGTTCATTTTGGGGTGGAGTAACCCTTTAAGTTGAGTCTTGGCTGTTGGACCCGTAGTCCGCCTGATTTCCAGACCCGCACCCTCACTGCAAATGACAATGTAATTTCACCCATTACATGAAATATTAATGGTTCACTGTCTCTCACCTGCAGACTGTCTCCATGAACAAAGACCTGAGCCACAGGGTCACTGCGGATGTAGATGTTCTCAATCTTCTCTGGAGCGATGTATTCACCCTGAGCCAGCTTGAAGATGTGTTTCTTCCTGTCTATAATCTTCAGAGTCCCATTCTAAAACAAGAAATACTCAACTTCACTAATTAAATAAAAAAGAAGGTGCGAGATTTCTGTTCTCTTAAAACGCAAGCATTAACTTCAAAATATTACAAAATGTGCAACAATTCGGAAGGACTGTGCAGAAGTTCAGCAGTAGTGTGGAAACGGATATCACCCTGAAAATATCCAATCCTGGCCCCATGGACCAGAAGCACACCCTACACACAAAACAAACACAATTATGCAACAAGAATATAATGCAAATTAATCTCTCTCTCTCTATATATATATATACAGTATATATATGCAGTCAAGAAATCAAAATATCATATATTTAAAGGAATAATTCAACCAAAAATGAAAGTTTGCTGAAAATGTACTCATCCTTAGGCCATCCAAGATGTAGATGAGTTTGTTTCTTCATCAGAACAGATTTGGAGAAATTTAGCATATAATCACTTGCTCAATGGATCCTATGCAGTGAATGGGTGCCGTCAGAATAAGAGGTCAAACAGCTGATAAAAACATCACAATCATTTGGATTTGTTTATTACAAACATGCCGCTTTTCACTTCACCTTATAGAATTGTACAGTAAGAAGGTTATTTCCTTTAACCAGGAAATTAACGTTCTTAGAATTGACAAGACGGTTGACCCTGAGTGGTCAGCTAAATATCTACAGTGGATCTAAAATATGAATAGTTAATTATAACTAGTTATGGTTAATTATTCATATTTCCCCATGAGCTAAATTCGCTACACTGCAGAGGATCCATTGGTGAGCAAGTGATGTAATGCTAGCTTTCTCCAAATATGTTCCGATAAAGAAACAAACCTATCTACATCTTAGTTGGCCTGAGGGTAAGTTTTCAACAAATTTTCATTTTTTGGTGAACTATTCCTTTAACCAAAATATCCCTTAAAAATTAACTAAATGAACTTTGTTACAAACTGTATAGAAAATATATTAAACAATTGTTTAATGACTGTGCATGCATAATACATACCTCAACCACTCTCTCAAACATGTGTGCTAGTGGTAGGTAAGAAATGTGAATGTCTGTCTGGTTTAGCATGCAGTGAACCTGTAAAACACACACACACACACACACACACACACGTGCGGTGTGAAATACAGCGTACCTCTACAACTCTTTCAAACATATGCGCTAACGGCAAGAAGGAGATGAGAACATCCTGAGGACTAGGTTTCAGCAACCCCTAACCAGACGCATATACACATATACAAACACATCAATACACAAGACACGAGGGAGGATGGAACAGGAAACAGACAATTAAATGAGAAAATGAGGCACAAGAAGAGGTGAACATAACAGAAAGACAAAAAGAATGAAGTTGATTTGAAGAAAACATTTCACTTAACAATTAACTGGCAAAATGAAGGTAACATGCTCCTAAAAACTGCGCAGATCTGATCTGCCATTTAAGTGATTTTTGCTCTTGTTTCCCGAGAAAGACTTCACTACAATTTTACATATATTAATTTAGCAGATGCATTTATCCAAAGTGGCTTACAAATGAGGAAATACATTGTTAAACAATACATTTTAAAGGATACAGACGTGGAAATCTCTTGGCTTACCTCTGTAATTTTAATGAAAGCGGAACAATTGGAAACAACGTTTCCATGTGTGAGCATTGCTCCCTTTGGACTTCCTGTTGAAAAAAAAAGAAAGAAAAAATTATACATTAATTCTCTGAGTGAGTTGGAGTCCTAAAAAATGATAAAACATGACAGGATACAATGAGGCAACATCTGAAAGACAGATTAAAAATTAAAATGAATCAGGACTAGGGTTGTCAAACTCTAAAATGACAACAACAAAAAAATCATACAAGTATCATAAAAGATGTTCTGTATGACTAATACACTAAAAAGTCGTCTTTCTTCTAAAGGAATAGTCATTATTCACTAAAAATCTTGAAATTCACTCTACAGTAGTTCTCCTTGGCACATTCAGTTGATCCAGTTCATAAAACCAGTCTGAATGATTCGTTCATGAATCAGACTGATCCTTTTCTCCAGTACAAATCAAATACTCAATCATTGTTGCAGCCACATTTGTGCATACTGTTTTGTTCTCTTTCATTAAAAAGGATTAGTATGCATTAATGTGTTAACTACAAAATAGTTCTGAGATTAATGACAATTAAATAGTTAAATACATAGTAAATACAGTATATAAACAATTTTACCTGTAGTTCCACTTGTGAAGCAAATCAGTGCCAGGTCCTCTGGTTTAGGAGGCTAGAAATAAAAAGGCAAAATGAGGACTAATCACCATGAAGCAGAAAACAAATAATAAAGCATTCAAATAAAATTATTCATTATTCACAGTTATAAGTCTGTAAATCAAAACAGTGCTCAGTTTTACTCACAATGGGTGTCTTGTGGTTGGCTTTGCCAATAGCCTGCCAAAAGAAAGACTTTATTTAGTGCAGCACAAATACAAGATTAATGGGATCACTGCTTACCAAGGGTGTCTAAGTGTGTGTTTGTGTGTGTGTGCGTAATCAGACCTCCAGCTCCTTGAGGCTCAGGACCTCAATGCCTTTCTGTTGTGCTTGTGCAGTCAGTTCACGGTCAAAGTTCCCCATGATCACTATGGTTGTGATACTGTGCTTCCGGCCAGACACACAGTCCAGGATCAAACGAGCCTTATCCGGGATGTCACAGATCACAGTGGAGATGGTGGCTACAACAAAGGCTCTTACTCAAAACAAAGTTCTCATAATTTCAACAACACGACATGTCAACACAATTTCCATCTTCATTAAAATCTTCAAGTGAAATAAAAAATAGTTTTGGTAATTTTCCTCTGGAACCCTCCACCTCCCCCAGCTCCACCTGTCTAGATCTGCTATGGGATATATGGATATATACATGCTCACAGCAGCTTGTCTGTGTATCTATTGGCAGCAGCAAGTCCATACTTGCTCTACAGCAGCAACAGCGTGCAGTCGATCCTAGCACACCAAGTCCAAATACAATAATATTGTAATAACCTTTAACATGCTAAAACTATTACAAGAGTTCTTACGATTGAAATATGATTACTAATTATCTAATTAATTGGATTTTAAATTTCAGTTAAAAAAAACACTTTTCTGAAAAAGGACACAAACAATTTTGAAAGTCCTCATTAAAAAATGTTATTTGCAGAAATAAAAACTGAATAGAAGGGAAATATATCATTAAAGCATTGCACAGAATTGTATAAAATGCTGTGCGCTTGCTCACCTTTGTCAATGATATAGCTGATGGCCTCTGTACCAAGTGTATCATACAGTGGCACTGCCACCAGTGAATATGTGTAACACGCCAGCTCTGAAATCGTCCACTACAGAAATTGTACACACAATTGAATCAGTTGTGGAATATATATACTGTATGCACAAATAATTTTATCTTACATAGAAATAATATAGAATGAACAAAACAGAATTAAGAAGTTGCCACACCTACTGTATAATAAGCAAAGCAATTAATGTAGGATTTAGGGCTGTCAATCAATATGTAACTGAAGTGATTACATGATACTTTGATATATTATCGCATATATCAATATTCCTTACAAAACCCCTCAAATGAAGATAATTCAGAAGTTACTATATAATTGTGGCAGACAAATAAAGCACTGAATAAGCAAATATATTGCTTATTTTATTTTTATATGAGTGAACATAAGCCTGCCATTCACCTACAGTCCTGTGTTCACCAAAACCATCATATTTGAGGTTGACAGTTTTAGTAGGAATCTGTGTTTGTGTGCATGTGATTACCTCTGGCCTGTTCTGAGCAAAGATGCCAATGTATTTGTCTCCTGTTTGACTGTGACCTCTGTGGAGTAATGCTGAACCTGCGAACTCTGCCCTGTCTGCTACCTACAAACATGAACATCCTATGAATATACACAACTTACTCAAATGAGCAGCCACATGGGATAAAATAGAAACAAGACAGGGCAATCAATAAAACATTCAGAGAATAAAAGGCTACACTAGTTCTGGAATAAGGTTTCAAATAAATTTTGCTCAGAATACAAAGCAGACTGTAGCAATCTTACCTCTTTATACAAAAGCCACTTATATGGCTTGCCCGGTTTTCGTGATCCCAAACAAGGACCATTATCTATAAAAATAACACACAAAAATGTGAAGATCTCACGCATGATGACAGGCTTCATTTTTGGGTGATTTTAATATCTACTTTAAATACTAGTTGACTTACTTGACACTCGTAGTCCTCGTAAGAAAAACTCATACATTGTCTGAGCGTCTTTATAGTAGTACGTCATGTATGTGTCACCGTGCTGTAGAATGGACCGACGAGCATATCTACTACCCTGAAAAACAAAACAAATAATCTATGATGTTCTATACCAAAAAAAATAAAAAATAAAATAACTCCTTACTCCAGGCAAATCCGATCTCACATCGTTTTCACACCAGATTGATAATCTGGCAAAGTGTGAACAGAAAGAGTGAATCGTCCCAGTGCTGTTGTACATCAGATATCTTGTAACGCCAATCAAATTTGAGTACCAGCAGAATTAATTTGTCCAAGATAAAAGTTAACAGCAGGAAGAAAATACAATTTACTTTCCCTGCATTAGGGTTTGATAAAAAAAACCATGCCATTGACAGCAGAAGGAAGGAAGATGCTAAAGGAATTTACAGATGCTCGCTTTAAAGCTGTCGCCAACATGTTTCAGTATGTTACCATAGCAAACATACAAGAAATGGTGAGAATACCCAAACTCTTTCAGCCAAAGACAGAGATCAAGGACATACATCCATAATTACACACATCTGGTTGAAAGAGGCTGCAGTTATTTGTATCCAAATCAAAGTTACAGTCTGCACCTGTGAACACACACATATACACAAAAACTACTCAGTGTGTGAGAACAAAAGTGTGTGAGGAAAAAAAGCAGGAATGTGATGAAAAACCATTCCAAAAATAGCTGTAGGTGGGCTGTCCCAACACACATACACTACCATTCAAAAGTATGTGGTAAGTTAGTTTTGACGTTTTTTGAAAAAAATTAAATTCTCATGCTCACCCAAATATATCTTTATTTGATCAAGATATAGTAAAAACAGTAATACTGTGAAATATTATTATAATTAAAAAAAAAAGTTTTCTGCTATACATGAAACGTATTTTAATATATTCCAGTCTTCAGTGTCACATGATCCTTCAAAAATCATTCAAGATTTGGTGCTTAAAAATCATTCCTGTAGAAGTGTTGAAAATAGTTGTGCTGCTTAATGTTTTTGTGGAAACCATGAAACCACAATGCACGGTCACAAGAAGCACAGCAAATGTTTTCTGCACTAAGACCTAACAAAATGTAGAGTATGTCACAGAGATGGGCAACTCGGGGGTTCATACGTGCATGCAAAAAGATCGTGCCGTGGTGAACCCAGAGGAAGCCACAGTGTACAGAAGCCATAAGCTGAACTGCTTTTTACAGGAAGCTTGCAAAAAAATCACTGTCGCATCTGACAGACGCCTTCACCCTTTTTGCCTCTGAAATGCCTTCAAAGGTCTTTGAACGTGTTAAATAAATGTGATTGTTACACATTCATGTTTCACAAGCTATGATAGTGTGCAGGACTTCTCATGACCTTGGTGGATTTGCAAGCCATATGGCTGCTATGCAACTGTTGGAAATCAGAATGCACTAGTTTTTTATCAATCTTCTGGGAGTTCTTTCTTTTTTAAACCAGGTGGCCACAATGAGCATTTCCAATGAGGAATTAGTCATTTGATTTCCCAAAGTTTTATGGCAAAGTTTAAAGTGAAATATAAGGCATTAAAACAAGTAACACTGCAACAAGATATCCTCAAGTGCAACTGTGCATTCAATAATGATCTTTAAAATAGCATCATATGACCCCTTTAACAAATGATTGCATAGTTAATAATTAATAATCTCAAAATGAAATAGTTACCACATTGCTGCATGCCAGAGTATTAAAGTGGCATCATCTAAACAGTAGTTGGTTGTTTTGCATGTAGGTTATATGGGTCCTTCCTGTTTATGTGGCCTGAAAAAACTATAACGTAGACTACCCAGAGTTTTACACACAGACTCTGAGAGACTGTTTTACCTGAACCATTTCACCTCACCATTGCTCAACAAATTCGTTTTGTGATATAAAATATTTATGGAAGCATTTTGACACCTACCTGCACCTCCACGGACTGCATGTGGAGGTCACAGGGTGGTTTAAGTGCTTTGGGACGGGTGGCCAGCCAGTATGTGGTGATGGCAGCGAACGCACCCATGCCCATGAGGGTGTTGGTGGGTAAACTGCGCACATACTGCCTCAAGTCATCCAGCTCAGGTATCCGCAGGTGCCGGATCAGATCCTGGGCCTGCATTGCTCTGCCAGTTCAGCTTGTTCAAGTCTATAAAAAGAAAACACAGACGGATGACTTTAGTGAGACACAAAGCCTGATTGTTAGCTGAAAATCAGTTTGAAATTCATCCATTTAAGTGAATGCTTCATTTGTATATGTTTATGGTAAATATTTGACATTACTTTTGTGTCTGTGTTAACTCATATTGAGTAAATGACAAAGAAAAATACATTTTGTACGAAAATGAATAAAGCAGGAGATTGTAGTCAAAGAATAATTCAAAAATTATTTCTTAATCCAGTAGACTAGGAATGCACAATATTCTACTATATTTATTGCAACAAAATATTTAGTTTAGTATTATAGTTTATATTTATTATTATATATAAATTACATTATTATTTTGTTATTCTAATTTGATCAGTATATGTTTTATAATTGTATCCATCATTTATATTGCACATTATAGTGTTGTGTTGTTATTATTTTTTCTTTTTTTAACAAACTAGATGTATAATATTCAAATATCTACTCAACCCACCCAAAGAGTCAGAATATCCTTTCATTTTATCCCTGTATTTCTCTGCCTTGTTCATCAGAGCTCTATATGAGCAGAAAATTGGGTTATAATAAAAAACTACAATAAATATTTCAGCTGCATCAGCCCATAGCCTCTAGCGCAGTATTTCTCTGTACAGTCTCTCCTCTTGGAAGCGGACTAATTACAGACAGGAAGACTTCAGACACTTCTGCAGCTTGACTTGACTACTCTCACAATAAAGAAACAGCTTCTCTGAATCAGTGAGACGTTTGCTGATAATATCTCTGAAAACACTTCATCTTCACAGAGAGGGTGAAAATGAATGCTAAAGCTTGTGAACAGCACTGTTAATGTGTTGTAGATAATACAGTGGACCTTCACCTCAGAGGTCTGTGTGACACTGGCCCGCTGTTTTATCCACAGACTTATATACACTACTAGTCAATAGTCTGGAATAATGAAGATCTTTCTACTGTTTTTGTAAGAAGTCTCTTATGAAGTCTCCAAGGCTGCATATTTCTGATATTATAAATATTACAATTTAAAATAGCTGTTTTCTATTTGAATATATTTTAAAGTGTAATTTATTTTCTGTGATGGCAAAGCTGAATTTTGGCCTTCTGGAAAGTATGTTCATTTACTGTACATGTACTCAATACTTGGTAGGGGCTCCTTTTGCATGAATTACAATAAGTCAGTGATGATTTGGCTGCAATGTCATCTGCTGGTGTTGATCCACTGTGTTTTCTGAAGTCCACAGTCAACGCAGCCATCTACCAGGAAATTTTAGAGCACTTCATGCTTCCTTCTGCTGACAAGCTTTATGGAGATGCTGATTTCATTTTCCAGCAGGACTTGGCACCTGCCCACACTGCCAAAAGCACCAAAAGCTGGTTCAATGACCATGGTGCTGGTGTGCTTGATTGGCCAGCAAACTCAAAAAGTCTTAATTATTCCAAACTTGCGTAGGGTATTTCTACAAATACATCAATATTGTTACATATGGCATGACATAACGGTAAGCAACAGAAATTTTGCAAAGATATAAAAATTCAAGTGCAGAAGAATTATTTTATCATAATGTCATGATGCACCACATTTCGAATTATTTCTAAATTGGTTGTAAATGAATAAATCTGTCTAATCAGTGAATGAAAGCCAATGCTTTTAGTGTTTTAGTGCATTTACAGTGTACTCTGCACTATATCAAAAAATATATTTTTCAAAGTTGTAAATAAAACTACATTTTACAACAAGTAAATACAATTTAAAAATTTCTACTTCAAAATTTCATGTTTAATTCAGTAAGATACTTGAAATCAGTTCTACAAAGTGTACCATAAAAGACGACAGTAATGTACAGGACAATGTCACTTTTAAAGTTCAGTTTTAATTTATTTCAGAATTTATTTCACAAAGTGCAAATAAAATGTCAATATCAGCTGATAGCAGATCGCCAATGTCAGTATTTCTCAGGGTGAAAACTTTCTCTAGTTTCCATTCTACTAAAGTCCCAGTGCCTCTGACCTTGAACTAACCCAGTCTAAAGATCAAAAAACACGCTTATAAATGAGAACATTCAATAAAGATTTTTTTGCTTTATTTATGAATGGATTTTCCCACTGAGGATGCCGGATTTCACTTAGATTTACCTCACTTCTGGGACAATATTATACCCAAAGTATTACATGCAAACACACACACAGCTTGACAATGTCACTTTTCTGATGGAATCAAAACTGAAGGATGGAAAAATACTCACCCTGGCTTGCAGCTCTAGTTGTTAGGTTACTTCTGTGGGTGTGGGTATTAGCTCTATTGTAATATTCTGTTTTTTAATGGATGCTTTCTGCGTGTCTGTTGTTGTAGTTAAACTGACCTAAGCAGCACTGAAGGAAACTATTGGCTATGAATAGCAGAATGACCCTCACGTACAGCAATACCACCACGCGGGTCTCTCTCATTTTCTCTCACTCTCTCTGTCAGTCTTTCACTTTCCCTCTCGATTTCTCCCTTTCTTTTTCTCATGCGTCTCTCATGCACTTTTCATTTCAGACTGATTGTTTTTAAGTCCTGTAGTCTGTTTTAGCAGATGCAATCGTGTGTGTGTGTGTGTGTGTGTTTGTGTGTGAATGAAGTGCTCCAAAACACACAGATTCTGGGATCCCACATATCAATACAAAGTGTACTGACTCTCTTCTTATCTCAGAAACATAAGCACACAACTCCAGTCAACAGATGTGAGAGCTGACATTGCTGTGTATGTTTGTGGAATTCCTGCTGAACAGCACAGTAGCACATCTGCTCTGTAATACGAGAACGAGAGATGTGTGGCAGCTCAAACACAATAGTCATTCACAAAGATAAAGAGAAAAAAAAAATAAGGACGACATTCCACATGTGCCAGAAAGCATAAGCTCTCTTACAAATCTCACTGAGCTTGTCAAGAGCATGTGACAGGTCACATTTCACACTAAAAATCAAAAGAAGTAAAAAAAAAAAATGGTGACTTGCCTATTTGTAGGGCTGTCTGATGCCAGTATTGTTAAAGTTGACACTATTAAAAATAATTTTCATTAATTGAAATAAAGCTAAAACAAAATATAAATCGATGAAACTAACTTAGCTGAAATGACTAAAATTACTAAAACTTAAAAATAAAGCTAAATAGAAATAATAAAAACATGACAATCACTAAAATGAAAATAAAAATAAAATAAAAGCTCATTCAAAATATTAATAAATACTATAATAGTATATAAATAACACTAAATTAACACTTGTATGACCATTATGATTTTTTTGCAATGACATTATTTTCAAAACACTTCAGCTCATTTACTCCCGAATTCTCATTAGCATAAAGCATTTTCACTCATTACTTTGATGTAATAACGATTTTATTGAATTTTTTAAAGTATCTATACACAATATATCCACCATATTGGTTCATGGTTGATATTAGTGATTTTTTTCTTTAATTTATTGGTGTGGTTGTACAGTTTATATAGAATATGTATGTGCATGCTCAATTTGCTTTTTTTTTTTTTTTAATTTCAATGCCGTTAAAGGTTTAAATATCTGTGTATTGCTGCACAGTGTTATTATAAAAGAGTTATTCCTAAAATATGTACTCGTGTATGTTTATAATCCACATGAAACTGCATCTGAGAGGGTGAGACTGACTGTGTGTGTGAGTAAATGTTCATGCCAGCAGCTGTGTGTATCTGGCTCACAGATGGGAAATGTCATGCTGAACACATGGCAGCTCGGGCAGTGCTTGTCCTCCAAGTGAAAGCTAACCTCTCTCCATACTTGGGCTGCAGACAGAATAAACCAATGACAGAGCTACACTCACTATCAGCCCACTGAGAGAAAGACAGTAAGAGTGAGACAGACAGACAGACAGAAAGTCTCAACAGCAGGAGCCAGAGGAACATTTCATGGCTCACACGACTTAATAAAGTTTCATTTGACTATCGGCTTCACCTCAGACATTTTTTGACCTACAATTCTTAGAATAATACTAAATTCCAATTAGATACAAACCAAGTCACTTATTTTCTCAAGAAAAACATCAGGAAACTGCCAAAGGTTCTGCAAAGCTAAAACGACTCAAACGAACAGCTGTTATGACAAATGGCTCTCAGGAGGATACCAAACTCATGACACACAACACACACACAAACCATATATTGTAGCTCTGGAAAAGCTTCCACCGCTGGAACATATCAAGGTGAATAAAGGCTTTCTTTAAAAACCTTCAGATTAACAGAGTCCACTTAAAGGCACAATATGTAATTTTTTGCCACTGGGGGGCGCGTATTCAAAATAAACAAAGAAACAAAGGCATAGTTAGATGACGCCGTGACTGAGTGTGGAATCATGGGAGTAGTCATCTTCATCCCCACAGCTGATGCAATCTGACGGGACTCAGGCAGAAATCATGTTCATGGATGAGCTAATGTATTAAAGATGTATTAACGTCGTAGTATGAAGCAGAGTGAGGCCGCTGAACGAGCGTGACACACGGCTCGAAAGCACTGGAGCTTTTATTATGCCACAGTCGACCGCTTCCGCTCCTTCCGGAAAGCAGCGGATGTTTTATCATACTAGATACATTTGAATGTTCTGTTATAATGCTACTCTGTGCGGTCGTCACCTGTCTAATAAAATGCATGCATAGCATATTAAAGCGTCTTTGGTGTTTCCATGTTTTCTACAAAACAAAACTGGAAATCGAGGGGTTATGACGTCATTTAATTAGCGACACAATGACACTATGGACATGCTCCGTGTCACTAGTTAAAATTGCTTATTTCTCTGGATTTAAACATTCTTTGAAACATTTGGTATAATGTAAGTTCACAAGTAAGCAAAATAAATAAAACTGTTCTAGTGATTTTTGGATATTTTAATAAAAAAGTCTTACATATTGTGCCTTTAATGCAGATTCACTTACTGTCATATATATTTGGTGGATTTTTTCTTCTTCATTAAATCACTTGCCATGAAACAAGACTAAATAAAATAAAAATAAAATAAAAAAACACCCAATGGTTTAGCAATGGTATTGAGACTGTCGGCTCTGTGGCCTCCAATTATACCTTTAATCTCTTGTTTATAGGCACATTACTGAATTTACACAAAGCTTACTTAACCAATAATACATGTGTAAATGCCCCCCAAAAAATCATGAAGGCACATAAATAAACAAACACACAAAAATGTTTCTCTTCCTGCAAAAAGGACCAAAATACTGATGAAAATTGTGTTCAGTAGTACACTTTCTGGAATGAGAAAGTCCACCCCCATTCCACCTGCCTTTGACTAGCAATTAGGGTTGCAAAAAGGTGGACATTTTCCAGTAAATTTCGGAAATATTCCAGAAATTTTGGAAACTTTCCAGGATTTTCTGGAATATTCCAGGGATTTTTGGAAAGTTTCCGGAAATGTTCCACCCCTTTGCAACCCTACTAGCAATTTTGTCATAGTGCAGCATAAATCAAAATCCATTCGTGCAAGTCCTTCCCCCACCCTAACTATTAGCTAACTGGAAATGCATTAACGATGGAACAACGTGCATCTTTGTCCAACCTTTTAATTAGTTCTTCAAGATTTATCTGCATTAATAAAGTTATCACAAGATCACAAATGTGAAATCCTAAAATTAAACAACAGCAAACATCGGCTTTTTTACATTTCTGAGAAGTCGGACATTTGGCCCTTAGTATCCTATTGTAATATTTAGTGTTTTTCCAGGAATTGTATCACATAACACTGACATCTGCATAACCCTCATAACTCCACCAGCTGCCCATTCAGATTTAGAGATAATTTTTTGGACTAAGGATTGTGGTAAAACATATCTTGTAAAATATCTCTATAGTTTGTCAAGGCATCATATTAGCAGCTGTTAAACTACTCATGGGCTCCCTGAAGGAAAAACAGCTAAAGCACACTGATCTAGTTAGGCTGAGCTACTGATAAGAACATCAATTTTTTTACTAGCATAACTGCCTCTGTGCCTTACACAAGTATCTGACTTAATGTCTGTCTCTGTCTCTGAGGCATTGACCCAATTCAGTCCGGAACAGAAAATTATTTGTTTGGGTTTTAAAGAAAGAAGAGACAAAGACAAAGACAAATGGCTGACAGCGACTCTGCTGCAAAATCAACACATACATTAACTGACAAGAAGTAGGAGGACAAGGAGAAGAACAAATTACCACACTAAATTATTTGTGGAACTAACTAGTGCTGTTACTCATTAAAAAAATGAAACTTGTAACTGGTAACTTACTCTGTGAACCAGGATGCATTTTCCAAAAGCAACTATGGTCGCAAGTTCTGTCATTACCAATAGAGTTCAATGGAACTAACAACCAAAGTTAGCTAACGATGCTTTTGGGAAACGCACCCCTGGTCGGGAGCAGGTTTTCTTCATTAAAGTTTCTTTCTGTTTCCTCCCCCTTTTTAAAGCATTAGCGATGTTTTACTTAAAACAAGAACAATAATATTAATCCAAATGGAAACAAGATTATTTTTCTTACCCCATTGGCAGATAATTTGCAAAATAAGAAAAATACACTTAAAAGACTAATAAATACAATTTTTCTTATATGCAAAATACATATTGATTTTAGAATTAGTGATTTAAGCATAGTTATCTCCTGATTCAGATGAGATGACTTTTTTACTGAAGAAAGCAATATTATGGATAGAGATTTTAGGCGGAAACAATGGCATGAAGTTAAAAACGGCTAGATGGATACAAACATGCAACTTTTCACTTCATAAGACGTTAACTGATGGACTGGAGTCGTGTGAATTACTTGTGGATTATTTTAGAACTCTCATTCTGACGGCACCCATTCCTATTCCTTAAAGTCAGTATGAAAGAGCATTCACAACCTTTTACTTCCATAGTTTACACTGAGCTTTTTTCAAATAACACTCTTGACAGCAGACACGGAGTGAATGTGAATGTTCACAACAATACACCGTATGAGTTTTTCTACCATCTCAGTATGCACATTTTTGGACATTTCATATGGATCTCCTGATTTCACTGTAGTTAGTCTTTCAGAAGCTAAATAAAAACACTCCAGGCTAGATTATGGCCTGAAATGGGCTTGGCCATGTTTGAACTCTTTCTTGCTGAACCACACCTAAAGCGTTTTATAACGAGATTTAAAGTGGAGCAGCACATAATACAAACCATTTTCTATAGAAGGGACATTTTGTTTTTTGTGAGAAGAAAGACTTACAATAGAAACAGATATTAATTTCGGAAGATCAGAAATTTGAGATTGACTCTTTTATCTGTAAGCCTATTATGTCAGATATATTAAACAACAGATAAGTACACATTTGGATTGGTAACCACAGCAACAGGTGTTATTTTGGGGTGGGGCAACCATCCTCAGTGGATTGCTCCCTTGCATACTGCAATACTTGGGGCAAAATTATAACAGATTCTAGCATTACGGTCTATAGAATTTTCAAACTATAAGAACAAGAAGTCAACATTTCTATGCAACCTCAACCTTGAGAGAGACAATTAACATGACCACAAACCCCGAAGATGCAGAACAAACTGT